GTCGGGGAAGGGCGGGGCTGAGTGGAGCGGGGCGAGGAGGCGGAGGCTGGGAGGGATGGAGGGAAGGGCACGATGGATGAGGATCGCTGCTCCACTGATGGAAGGAGGAGGGTAATGGTGGAGGCATGGATGCTAGAGAAGCGAGAGCTGTGTTAGTTACTTAACTGACAAGCATTTAACACCGTCATTGACACCTCAGCGGTGAATTACATCAGAATGAAAGATATTGCCTTAATCTTCTATTGCGCTTCTCATCTCTTTAAGATGGCAACTGTAGCAGAGCACTAGAATTTTTGGCTTCAACGAAAAGTTCTGAAACGACTACTTAAATGATTTTTTGTGAAATTAAAAGCATTGTTTCGAAGCCGTAAACATAATTGTCTTTGCTCTGCACGGAATTGAAAGCCAAACCTTACAGATTGCCTACCAGTCGCTGAGACTAGAAGAAGTTTGCACAATCTGTAACGTATTAGTTTTTTAAATGAAACCTCGTGAATTTAAGGTGGTGTTGGGGCCACAAAACCGGAGTCATTCCCCACCGTAATTTGGGAAACAACGTGTCCGTGACTGAATTAAACATAAAAACTGCACAAACCCACAGTGGTACATACAAACGTATAGTATGCTTAGAAAAAAGTCCACAAAATTAAAAATTTGCACATACTTCAAACCACAAGGTGTGATTTCTGATTTTTATATTCCATCCATTGACAGAGGTAGTAGAGAGGTATTTATTAAGGCAACATAACTTCTGAAGTATTTATGCCGCATGCATATATAAGCCGCAGAAAAAATGTAGGTTAACAACAAAAGAAATATTAGGTTAGTGAAAAAACTCGAAAGAACGCAGTCTCCTTTGATTTACTGAATAAAACACTGTAAAATACTGATCTGAAAATGTCCGAAAGGCCTTTAAACACGCACACTGTAGACTACTTCATACGTGCCATCTAAGCATGGCGGTGTGTTCGTATAGATCACGCGCTATGAGATTAATTGGCATATCCGGCAAAGGAAGATTAAATAGGGGGATATGACATTGGCAGAATGCAACACAGCATGGTGGCGCCGGCAATGCCATAAATAAAGGAAAGAATTCAAATATATCACAACAGTCGAGGGTGATTTACAGAACACCTTTGGTTTCTGTGCTACTGTCTGCTGTCGAAATTGGTCAGAACATTAATGATTACAGACTGGTGAAAGTTGAGTTGTCTTTATAATTATTAAGTATTTATAAAGTAGATAGTGCAGCGTTCGCAAATTCCAACAACTTCTGTAGAATGCCAGTATTTCTTTTAACCGTTTATATTCAGTTATTATAACAACAATGTACTAGTATTACAATAGGAACTCTAAAGAAACAACAATGCCTTATTCCCATATATCGCAAAACCATGGCCTCCTGTAATTCACACGTTAACGAATGTGTTGTTTACTAAGTAATAAATCATGAAGAGTTTAGATGAAACAAATCTTGATTAAGAACAGAAATATTTTTATTCGATCATAGAAAAATTAATTTTATATTTTGTGAGTGAATTTATAGTTTTTACACGATTTCTATTGAGAGCTTTTAGTTTCGACCTAACGGTCTCGACAAATCACCCTCAATAATACTAGATCGTGCAAAAAAAAACAATGACAACACGTACTTAATATAATAATAAGTATTTTAGATAGCCATTCGTAAAAGCAGTTCTTTCAGGGCACAAATAGCCTGTTAAAAGTTCAATTTTTAGCACTAGTACTAAAATTGAGACGATGTTCACATGTTCATATAAAACTATGGATGCAACAACGGAAACAAACCTTTCGTATAACCGAATCTGCTACTACTGACTTTAATGTAGTACAGTACCCAATTTAATGATTTGTTTACTTGAATTAAATGAACATGAAAGCTGTCTAAAGAAATAGTGCACGACACACGCAGTAAAAGTGAGTTTATTTTACTCGTAAGATTGCACCAACGATCTATCGGCACCGTGTTGAAACCTTTCCTACCCGCAAAAATAAAATGCCAGGTTTACCACCCATATCATAAATAACCATTACTTTTGACAACTTCCACCGATATCCGTCACGACGGTAACAATGGAGCACCAAAAATTCGTGTCAACAAGAGCTCACGAGTAGACGACATCTAGCTGATCGTGCACTTCAATTCAATGGCTAGAACCAAGACCTGAAATACAGCCCCGACGCGGGCGGCCGCTGCAATGAAAGGGGGCGAGGGGGAGAGGGCTGAAAGCGCGAGTGAGGTCGTGATGAGGAAAGCGGGAGGTCGCTGGCTGCAGCGGCGGCGAGAGTGACGAGGGGTGCGGACGGGGCAGCAATTCTCGACGCGCCGCGCCGCACCGCGCCGGTGGAACAGAATAATAACGCAACGCGACGCGGCGCCACGTCGTACTACTAAGCGACGTTGCAACCTGTTTCATGGGACAGCGCAATTTAATTCAAAGTTCCGCTTGCTAGTTTCGTGGCCGTTTATAATAACGTTCGCGGAGTTTATTTAGTTCCCCTGCATCTGGCCTAAAACATGTCTTCTAGTTTGTTCTGAGTTGTTACTATTTGGCTTGATAAAGTGTGACAGAAAGTAAGTCATTCAGTAAATAAATGAATTGAAAAAATTATTTATTGTTATTCTAATAAGATACATGATTGCATATATTGCATTTTCTTTCACTAAAATCTAATTTACCTCAACCATCAAATACTTGAACTCTCGTCCTCACTGATACAATTAGTCCAATGTGAACACCCTCACTCATTCTAAACTCCACGCTCGAGACACATCTTTGCTCGTCTCACCACTGTCTCTTCTCCTTCATACGCTTTGTACGTCCCTTCGACCCGGTACCTGCCTAACGCGCATGCACGCACAAAAGCAGACACACACAGACACACACACATTTGAAAAAAACCGAATTTACCTCAATATCTCGTAAAATACAAGTGATAAAGTAGAAATGAATACATGTACCAATTAGCCCAGTCCCTCGAGCACATCCGTGAAAATATAAAATAATTATAAAATTATTAGCATATAAAAAAATTTATATTACGGGCGTAGACGTTTCAAAACTTTTGTACAAAAAAAATTAATAAAATGTTAAAAACAATTTTAATTGGGAAATACTCACTATCGAACTGTTTGGGGCAGTACGTATGAAACCTGATGGGCGTTTTTAATCCCTCAAAACCTTGCATCTATAAAATAATAATTTTCTAGGGGGTTGTGGAATGCAACGTATTCTGTTGCATTGGAGTATATTAAATTATTTTCTTTTCTGTCAGTTATTTGTTTTGACACTTAAGCCTGAAGATGGAAATAATTATTTTCCGAAATGCTTCTATTGCCGCTGTGTATCACGTACAATATATTGCAATCAAAATGTATTTTAAACAATTTTCTGTCTTTGAAATACAGAACTTTGAATATAGCCTTCAGTATATACTCACATCCAGGGAGACGTAGGGCACTGGGAAGGTCTGCGCCGGCGGTTGCTCGTCGGGCATGTAGCGGTAGAACTCCTGGTCGTCCTTGTACCACTTGACGGAGTAGAGGCGCGCGCCAGCCAAGTCGTAGCGGCACCACAGCGTCACTGGCTCACGCATGTCGGCCACCGCCGGCACGAACAGCTCTCGGATCACTGGCTTGCGCGCCGCTGCAACACACACACAGAACACACGCTTCAGTCTGAGGCTACGGCGCATTGAGTGACTGAAATATTCTCGTATCCCAGCCGTACATACCAGAAACGCAATGGTGGAATAAACATTTTTAGCGTAAATAAGATGATTCTTGCGGTTCGGATGGCCGAGATCGTTAAGGCGTAGTGAAAGTAGTGAAATTGAAGGGTCGTGGGTCCGAATCTCGCCTCGGGCATGGTTGTATTTGTGTTCGTCCTTTCACCCCCTACCATCGCATGTCATGTCATCTTCCCCAGTTACCATGCCGTTAAATGAAATAGTGGTCGCTAATGACGTAGATGTTGATGCGTCCTTAAATAACAAAAAAGGATTATGCTTATCTAACAAATGAGTTTAATAAATTTAAATACCCCAAAAAACAATAATGTGTTGATATTTGCATTGAACATAAAAGAACTGAAGAATAAAATAACTAATTCCAATAAAATGTTAAAAAAATGTTTAGCACGCTAATTTTCTTAGCGTCTGACTTTTGAGTTATAATATTTTTAATTATGATAACACAGAACAAGAATTTAATGAAAAGCTGAGGCTACAATTGACATGAGTTATAGATTGAGGAGTTTGAAGGTACGAGTTTTGGTCGAGTAAGTAAATAAATCAGTTTGTACTAATATTAAGGAAATACTTTATGGTATCACTCTTCTTGAAACCACTTGGATGGTAGAAAATCTACTTTCCCTTTAATGTTGTAAAACCAATGTTAGGTTCCCCCAAAATGACACATATTATTATGTACACCGGAACGCATCAGGTCATATCCAGATCAATAAAACTACCAGACGCTTAAGGAAGCGTTCGCTACTCAGCCACGCCACCGCAAATGTCCCTAGATGTGCTGCAAGCGTGCACACTTACCCTACTACCCCGACTTTAAAACTACAACAAATGATTAGGTACTGTTAACAATTATAATTACACACCAAAATACTAATCACTTTTAGAATTTTATTCTTTTTTTGTTTGTTTTGTTAATATCATATACTTAAGGTCGGTTGTAACTCTTTGGTCCTTAATTCAATTTTTTTAAAAGTAAACACAAAATATTGATAACTTCGCATATTTTTCCTGAACTTAATATTTCTTTTAAAAAAATTAAGTATTTTCAATAATTTTATTTTTAGAAATGTGTAACCAATACCAGCCGTACTTTCTATTACGAAAATGGAAAATTATAAAAATATGTAAGTCTGTGCGCAGCTTCAGGAACACGCCAAGATGCATGGGAAAGGGAAGAGACGGCCACTGTTAACCAGACGCGAAAAAAGAAAAAAAATTATTCATAGGCGGAACTGCAAGAACGTGCGGTAGAGATTTGTTTTTTCATTTATTTTCACAGATGGTGAATACAGAGATCAGTTTAAATTACCAACACATATGTTAGAGATCTTACTAGCTAACTTTAAACTAATACAATGGTTGGGGTTACCCATCGAGCTCCTCTGGTTGAGATCTAGTTCGAAGAATTTCTTTAGAAAAATGTGAAAGGGAAACTTATTTTGTATTCTGATTCTTTTTGACAGGTTTTTATCGATTCTGTGAGCTGTCAGTGAAGGAATTTGAGATATGTTTGAGAAGACGCTGGTAGGGTGATATTATGGTCTATAAAACAAATTCTTTGCGTTTTAGGTATCGTCGTTGCCGGCTTATCGAAAATGCAGGAAAGAGAAGTTAAGAATTGTATTATGGCGTTCTTCACGCGGTATCATGAGAAGTTCCTGGGAACTTCAATACTTTTCAAGTTTAAATGAACTCAAAATGACGCATTTTCAGAAACACACGAACAAATTTTTCTCAAACGGCTTCAAATTTCCCAAAAAGATCCTCATACAAAGAGGTTTTGGCCATCTTAAAACATTCTGAAAGTGTCATTTGAATACAAATATTAGAAGATCCTAAAAATCGATAAAATCTGAAAAAATTTGTACATCGTTATTTTTGATTTAACACAACTTCAATATGAATTTTAGAGAAAAGTAAATTAAATCATTTTAATAATAAAAGATAATTTATCATTTTAATAATAAAGATTCAAACAGTGCATTCTACATTTTTAACAATGTTAGTTCCTTTGATAAAATCTGTTCATTAATGAGTGGGTGGAAACAAGTTTTTAAAGCTAAAGAATATTTTAAATATTGTTGCTGTAACAACCAATACGGTTGAATGTAATTGGGATAAGTATATCACAGTATCTAGCCAATTTATAGGCTCCATAAGCCACAAAAATATCAATTTTACATGAAGTAAGCTTGGAAGACATTTTGTACGATGTTTCAAGCAGTTAAGTAAAGAGATTTACATACAATTGCTTAAATATTGAAGATTGATCATTTGGATTGAATTCATTTTACACAACCTACTACTTACATGATAAAGTCTCTACCATGAAATTCACTAGTATCCATTTGAATTTGTGATGAAGCAGAAGTCATTTGCATATAGTATATTCATTTCACTGTCATCCATGAGGTATTATCCCTTAACTGCAAATCGTATCAAGCTTGTAATACATTAAGTCTGTAATATTGATGTGATTCATCTGACCACCAGATCGCATTACAAAGAATGTCATATGCTCACATCACAATTACGCCGTGGCTTGTGCATCAAATGTAAGCAATGTCAATGGCATTAATGATCAGGGTTGGGCTTCACAATCACGCTAGGCATGTGACTCGCAACCAGACAGACACTGTTATCTGTTGAACACATTAGCGAATTATCATCCACAACTGACGTAGCGCTTTTACTTCAAGCTTTATGGCAGCTTGTTCACAGTACCATTTGTATTTGTTTAATAATATTGTTATATTAAAACTCTATTGTTATATTAAAACTCAACAGTGGCATCTTATCTTTCAATATACAAAGTCAGCGTAGTCTCTTTTCGAGTAGAGTAGATATACATAATAAATGAATACGTGAAGAATTTTATTGATATTGTATGCAACAATAATCTGAGATAGTCTTTATTGATTAATAAGAGAGAACAGTGTTTGGTTTGTTCGCGCTAATCTTTGAAAGTGCTGAACTTTTATCGATGAAACTTTTGTTTCTTATAAACTTCTATACGTTATTATAAAGAGGCATATTCATTATATATAACTATATATAACACAAACAAATTTATTTTCAGTTTTACATCTCCCATTTTAGAGAAATACGAATTAATCAGTCAAGCTTAGCTGCGAGCTACTGCTGTGTTGCACCATGTTGCAGCAAGATGTTAAACCAAGTGCCTGCTGATCAAATCACCAAGAATAATCCAACTCTTTCTTTACGTCTACTTTAACCATGTGAAACCACAAAAGGACATACTTTCTCGCATTTTTACGACTTTTGCCATGTTCTAAAAATGAGTTCAATGAAAATTGTAACATCAAAGTACTCCATTTTTATAAATGTAGTGAGTTCAATTCGAGAAACAAAATTACCGGAAACTTTTGAGCAGTTTTTCTTTTCTTTTTTAATTGCCTTTATTGTAAACAAAAACCACTCATATTTTCGAAAAATATGGATGAATAAATAATTGGCTTTTAAGAACAAATTTTATCAATAATATCTTCAACGTGATAGTAGAATGATGCGGAAAAAAATGAACACGTGCAATTTTCGAAAAATTCGAAAATATTCAATGCAAATTACACCTGCGCCATTTTTTAAACTAACTTTGCTCAATACGAGCAAACCTTAATCCAAAAAATTGAAGCCACAATTAAAAAAAAATTGAAATTGATATTAAGGTTTTAAGTAACCATACAGTATGTGGCTAAAGATACCCTTATAATCAAAATTCCCGTTTCATTTTCGCAGGGTCTTGGGTTCCGACAGATCGAAGAGAAATGTCAATTTTGGAGAAAATCATCTCAACGGTTTAGGCGCTAGTGTTGAGCACACACGGTCGACGGACGGTCGGACGGACGGTCGGACGGACGGTCGGACGGACGGTCGGACGGACGGTCGGACGGACG